CATTCCCTAGGCTGTAGGTGTGCTGGACATTTTTCTTCCCTAGGTGCAGCACTTTGCATTTCTCCTTGTTGAACTGTGTGGAGAAGATCTGAGATCTTGAGATCTGTGTGGAGAAGGCGTCACGCTGCAGGGACAAGCTCTTTGGAGGAAAGGATGAGAGCTGAAAATAAGCGTGATGAATTTGCAAGGATCAGGTGGAATCCGGTGCGGATGAGGACCAAGTGCCATCCTCAGGCAGGAGGAATCGGAGACATGGATACAAGACCCGGCTCGACAAAGCCCTGCCTGGGTTGATGTAGCTGGGGCTGGTTCTGCTTGGAGCAGGAGGTTGGACTCAATGCAACCTCCCGAGATCCCATGCAACCCTCCTTGTCTGTGACACTAAAACAGGGGCTGTCTGCCTAGGTAGCAGCTCTGCAGAAAGCGGCCTGGGTCTACAGCGACCCCCCATGAAACCGGAGTCAACAATACATGGCAGTCATCCCCAAAAAAGAGCGTGCTCAGTGCTAGCAGAGCAGGAGAGTCGTGCGAAAGGTGCGGGAGGGAGTTACTGCTCTTCCCAGCACTCGTGAGCGGGGCCTGGCGTGCAGCTTTGGCACCCCGCGAAGAGAGATGTTGACAAAATGGAACGAGTCCAGAGCAAGCGAGGACAAGAGGCTCTGCAAAGTGACCCCGGAGGAGAGGTTGCAAGAGGAATGGCTTTGTTTCCTCGAGAGAAGATGGGAGGGCAGCAGCCCACTGACACACAAGAGGCGGTTTCTGAAGGGAACAGGGATCAAGCGTGCTCCAGGGCCAGTGCGGGAGGGACCAGAAGAAACCAGCCCAGTTCATAGCAAAGATAGCTGAACTGGCTGTTGAAACCTGGCGTTTTCCTAACTTGCTGACACACTGGATGTGTCGTCCCCGAGGCGGTGGAGCCTTTCACTGAACCCGGGTCCCACAAGCATCTCAGGGTGGTCTGGGTGCACTTGAGCCGCTGCAGTGCAGGGCTTGGACCCTTCCTGAGGTCCCTTCCAGCCTTGCATTGCTACGATGCTGTTCTCCTAATTAGCTGCCACCAGATCCCATGGGAGCTGGGAACCTAGCAGGGTACCAGGGGGGCTACAGGGATGGCACAAACATGCCCAGGTCCCTGGGATGGCTAATGACAGTGGTTGCACAGGCGTGGAAAGTTGCACACTGCAGAGCAAAGGTGGCAGCCTCTGCTGGCTGAGGATTAGGGAGAAACCTGTGCAAAGTCTCATTCCAAATCCCTCCTTTACCTGCCCTGCACATGATCCTGCCCTTGGCTCGGGCTCACGCAGGGCTGAGCCCCATGCCAGCCAGCCAGGCCTCGTCCTCCTGCTGCTCCTCCCCTGGTAATTGTGTGCTCAGCAGCTAATCCGCAGCTGCAAACGCAAACTGAGCCCTGGGAGGCCTGCCCTGCCCTGCCTCATACCTCACAGCTTAGCCCTGTCCTGGGGTGGTGAGAGCGCCCCTTGGCAGCAGGGCAGGACTCGACTCCTCACTGCTGAAACATGCACTGGTGACAGGCGACCAGGGGTGCATCAGCCCCGTGACGCCTCGGGACAGCGAGCGCTGCGCAGCACAGACACCCCACGGGAGCTGAGTCCTGCCCTGGGCAGTGCCGTGCACAGGGGCATAACCAGGCAATGCAGCAAACCAACCCGAGCCTCAGGCATGAAGGTGCACAGGGCCTTGCCCCGTCTGCTGACCTGGCACCGAGTCAGATCCATCAGCCGTAGGATTAGAGGCTCCTGATAGCACCCTGGTTGCACTGGCTGCAGAAACTGGGACGGGAAGGTGAGTGGGGCAGGCAGGTGCAAGAGGACAAGGGAGGATGCTGTGGTTAATGCAGTTCAGTGGTGCCAGGGGGAGCTGCGTGCCCCCCGTCTCTGCCACTGTGTTCCTGTGTGACGCTGGGCACATCATTTAGCCCCAGGGTGTCAAACTCGCATGAACTGGAGGACCAGACTGGCCTGTGCAGTCGTTCTCGCAGGCTGAACGACCCACCTCTAGGTCTGGCCCACTGCGGATTTGCAATCCCAGTAATTACACACCGGGAATTTAGCTGTGGGAGCGGTGCGAACCCCCTGCTTAGCTGCCAGCCCGGCGGCTCTCAGAGCTGCGGCAAGAAGCGCTGCAGCCGGTGCTGCTCGGAGGTGCGCGGTCTTGTTCGGACGGCCTTTTGCTTGTGATAGCCTTCTGTGTCCAGGCTCGTGGGGTCTGTGCTTTGCAAGGCCAGTGTATCGAGCATCCTTCTGGAAGCCGAGCACAGCACAGAGCTGCCACTTACCCCCCCAGATTTTGGAGCCCTCTCTCAAGCACTTCCGTGGGCCAGTTCTGGGCTGCAGACCCAGCTGCGGTCGTCTTTGTCTTGCTGCATCATAGGCTAGGCGTGAAGCTCATCTCTAGGCCCCACAGGGGTGAGAAGTGCCTGAGTCCCTGCACAGCCGAGCCGGGCCGTCGGGAGCAGAGCTGCGGGGAAGTCCGTGTCTGTACGGAGGGCAGGGCACGGGCTGGCTGGGGGGCCTTAAGTGTGGGCAAGGCAGGGCTTGCAAGGGGTCTTGGACTGGGCATAGCAAGCCTTTCCATGCATGTTAGGTGTCTTTGCAGGGGGTGGCTAGAGGATTTGAATGGCCCCCGTGGTTTTCTTTGGCCTGGCCCTGCTGCTGTAGCCAGGGTCCTGGTCCCTGGGAGAAGCTAGCTATAGTACCATGTGCGGGGCAGTCACTTGCCTAAATGCCGCTCGAATGAAAGGCCCGGACAGGTGGTGGTGCCTGGTGCCACGTGTGCCCTCTTGTCTCCTCACCCGGGTGATCCACGTTCAAACTCCTGCCCTGCCACACTGCCTTCCCAAGTGACCAGGACCAACTCCATCTCCTCTTGTCTCTCGCCCTTCCTTGCCTCACAAGTGGATGGATGAGGGTTTGAGACATGTGCCGAGGCCCATGCTGGGCGGCTCTGTCCGAGTGCAAAGGTTAGTCTAGTCTGAACGATTGGGGCTGTGTTAAGGCTATTCCTGAGCTGCTATATGTAAGATCTGTGGTGCTCGCTGCGAGTGTGCATGTAGAGACTTTGCCCCAGTAGAAGCGCACGTACGTGTCTGTTCCCATTGTTACAGGGTGATGTGACCCAGGTCCGGCAACGGGAACGCGACTCTCTGCCTGCACCTCGCTGGCTTTCCCTGCAGCTTGGGACCTGACGTAGACCCTTGGCTGGGACAGTTTGGATAGGGGTGATCCTGTCTTTAGCTAGGTTTTGGACACCATAAAGTTTCAGGGGCATTTGGGTCGTTTGCACATAGGAACTCCTGGGCCATCATGTCTAGTCCCTTGTGTTCATGGACAGCCGCTCCTCCAGGAGGATCCACTCCAGCCCCACTCACACATGCAGCCACAAAGCACCTGATGGAAAAATACTATCAAGACATCACAGGGAGGAAGCAGGAGATGCGAGGGCAGCACCGATGCCCTGCCACTGCAGTAACCAGAAACCAGTTAGGTTAAAACACGCTTCAGTGATCGCCCAGGCCCAGAGGACCACTCCCATGGGTCCAGAGGAAGGCAGAACATCCCCATGATCCATGCAATACAGCGTGGGGGGGAGTCCTTCCCTCACCACAGGCTGGACCATCCTTTATGTAGCGATCACAGGGCATGTCTACATGTGCGCATTTAATGCACATTATCCCAATTTAAGACACATTAATGGTGCATTGCCTACATGTGCACATCCTTAATGTGCCTTAAATTGGCAATTCAAGGCTATGTGAGCCGAAATTTGATACCTGCATAAAGCAAGTATCAAATGTAGGCACAATTAAAGTGCAGATGCAGTGTGAGTCAATGGATACACACCGCATTAATGCACATTAGCACGTCTGCATGTGAGCTAATGCAACTTAGCTATTCACACCCAAAATTTAATGCGCCTTAATGCGCGTTAGTGTGCCGTGTGTAAATGGGAGCCTAAATCACCTTAAGTAAAGGCACATTTAGTTTAGGCATGTGTAAATACACATGTAGACACACCCACAGCACACGTGAATAGGAATCAAACAAAAAGTGTTATTGTGGAGCAGTAGGCAAGCCTCTGAAGACCCTTTGTCTGTCTCTGACTAACTGACTGCCACCGGAGGGGACATCTCATCTCAATTCCCAACCCTTCTATGCTAGGGAGTGTCTCTAAGTTGCATCTTTTATTACTATGCCTTGTAGAAAAGGGCCTTTGAAAACATTAGCCCTGTTTTGGGCCGGTGTCCAAACCCAATGAGGTTGAGTGACTGCGCAAGTCCCGCTTTGTGTTTGGGGATGAAGCTCTTGGTTTTGGTAAAGCCGCTGAAGCTGGACAAGGAGGAGGAATTCACACCAGCCCCTGTGCATCCCCACAAACTGACTGGTTTCCACTTGCCCGAGGTCCTGGGGTCTCAGGAGATCTCCCCTTGGAGTGCTATCTCCTAGCCGGGGGGCCGGGAGCACAGGAACATGCCTGCCCGGCTTCAGCAGCAAAGAGATGGAGCTTAGCACAGGGGAGGCTTCCCCAGCCAAGCGGTGGTTATACCTGGCAGTCACGTGGGCATAGACTGGCGTCCCTGGGTGGGGCTGTGTGCATTTTTTTGCACCCGTGTGGCTACAACTTGGGCCAGCCCAGCTCTGGGTTGAGCTGTTTGAATATTGTCTGGCCTCAGCTGTGAAGAACCCGCCTGCCCGGGCGGCATACCAGGGTGTTTGGGCGCCTCTTGGGGATGCAAAATGGGGACCTGAATCCCCCGGGGGGAGGAGGGGAGAGCTCTGACCACTAGGGCACTGCTGCCACCCCTCTGTCTCCTGGGCTGCAAGTGTGGCCTCCTGCCTCCCTTTGCTCCTGCCGTGTGTGCCTGACACGGGGAAGAAGCGTTGCGTGGTTCAAGCAACAGGGTTTGCGTGATCTGGGAAGACGTAAAAACGGTTTGCAGTTTGGCGTGGGAGAAAACAGGCAGTCAAAAACGGTCATTGCAGTTTGATCCAAATTTAATTTAAAAAACCCCAAAACAAAACCCCTCATCCAGTTCTGTGGCTGCAGCAGCGCGGCCCTGCTCCCAGGTTTGGGGGAAAGGCTGGATCTGGCTGGGGAGCGAGGCAGCCAAGCCGAATGGGGACCGGGCTAGGGACCTTTCTTCTGACCATGATTAGCTGGTTTGGCCTCGTGAGCCTCATGTACATGCACCAGAGAGGCACCTGGAAGGTGGCTGTGAGCTGGGGACGTGTGAGCTGGCCTCAGACTGCTCTTTAATGAACCTTATCCCTCTGCACGAGGCCTGGAGCACGAAGCAGGGAAATGCCACGTGTGTGCTTCAACCAGAGCAGAAAATGAGCAGGTGAAGGACTTGCCCGATGCCTGCAGCAAGTCAGTGGCAAGGACAGGATTAGAAACCTGAGGCCAGCTCCTCTTGGCAGTCCTGCTGGGCCCTCCTGGGAGAGCTGGAGGGAGCAAGCAAGGCAGGGGAGACACGTGCAAGGTGGGGAGAACAGCACCTGGTCCCTTGACACCTGCTTTGGCCCAAGTCGCCTGCATGACTGCGAAGAGCACTGACTTGCAAAGATCAGTTAAAAAAAAACACATTTCCCAGAAATGCATAAAACAGCCCAGGGTACGCTGCTGAGACCATTCTTCCTCTGAGCTCATTGCTTCCACTTCTGGAAAATAGGTTTTTAATGGGGAGGTAAAGAGCAGTCTCACCGCACTGCTGCAACATCGCTTAAACCCACAGCGCACGTGAGACTCCCTTTGTGGTCCTTGTCGGGGCAGAGCACACGGTGCAGCTTGGGGAGGTGGCCTGCCAGTCCCGACCAGTCCATCCCAGCTGCCAGCAGCCAGGGTCTACTGGGGCCAGGTGCTGGGAGCATGACGGTATTAGCCGAATGCCACCACGGCCTGAGTTAGGGCCGTGTCCTGCCTCTGCTGTGCCACGTAACGTGGAGAGAGTCTGGGTGCGGACGCTCAGTGGCAGGCGCGGGGTTGTGTCTACTTGTGGCGGGGGCCGCGAGTCCCTGAGTGAGTGTTTTCTCGTTGCTGTTGAACGCCAGGTTGATGTGCGCCGCCTCATCAGTCTCCACGGGGATCGCCGTGGCCTCGGAGAAGGTGGTTGTGTTCAGAGGGGGCCAGGCGGGGTCCCGGGACAGCGCGCGCCGCAGGCTCTGGTACCGGCTCTGGGACTGGTACCGGAAGCGGGTCTTCAGCCACATCCACAGGGCTCGGTTCTCAATGACGGCCTCCTGCACAGGGAAGCACCGACAGTCAAACCCCGGGGACTCAGGAACGGCTTCTCTGCCCCCCAGGACATAGCACCAACGGTGGGAATGCAGGGCAATCCCCATCCTGCCGAGACACCTCCCGCTTACAGCCCACGACAAACCCCTTCTTGCAATTTCTAAGCCTCCTGCCCGGTGCAGGCCCCTGCAGCCCTGCTGGCATCACAGGAGATTCCCATGTCGCGGCCGGTGGTAGATGCTACTTCAGGCCACGCTGGTGAGGGGCCACAGGGATGAGAGCCCTTTAAAGGCGTGGACACACCGTGTATACCCCTGCGCCGGTAGAATCGCCCCAGGAAACACAGGGCAAAACTCTACCAGAATGGGTCACACTGGCCTGAGTGTGGCGCGTCCGCTCCTATCCCGGGATAGTGTTTGCTCAGCGTAAGCAGGCTGTTACTGGCTCCCCACCACCTCGGGAAGAGGCCGTGTGCCAGCATCTCCCACACCAGGTGCTCCGGGATAAGTGGGGGTCTGACCACTCCGGATCTGGGTGCACTTTCTTCGGTGCACAACGCAGCGTATGTGACACGGGGTAAAAAACCCTGAACTGAGGAGGAAAATGCAAACGCTCCTCTGTCTGGGAAGCAGGTCCTGCATCCCCGTGCACCCCAGAGAGGAAGGAGCTGAAGCAGGCAGAGCCCAGCAGGGTCTGCCCCCGACCTTTTGGGGTCAGAGGTGGGTTGCTAATGCTAGTGGGTGCTGCTCTTCCAGGTGCTGGGGTCCGGCCCTTTCTGCTCGTGTCAGGAGTTAAGCGAGTGCCCTCACCTCTACAAGCAGACACGCAGCGAACGTGACGGCCAGCATGATCAGCATGGAGACCCTCCAGACGGGGGGCGTGCACACCAGCTGGGAGAAAGGCAAGAGGGGAGGCGGTCAGCGACACGTGGGCACCAAAAACACAAGTGGGATCCCGTGTCACCGGAGCACTGCGTCTTGTCCGACGGTAGGCGTCTGCTACTATCTGGTGAGCCGGCGCCGTGGGTCACCTTGTTACCTATGCTGAGGGCAGCTCTCCCAAACCCATTTTTAGGCCCCTATCAGAATTACCAACCACACCGTCCCTACCCACACTACCTTAACTTGGTACCTGGTGGCTGGTTCTTTAAAGTGCGGCAGTGTTTTGGGGGCTCGTAGCAACCCAGCTCCTTGGGCTTGCTCCCTGCCTGATCCAGCAGCTGCAGCTCGTGGAGGGACCCAGGCCCCAGAAACCCCGGCCAGATCATCCCACTCACAAACGTCCTAAAATCCCTCTTCGAATCGACTTGGCTTCCTGGCTCCCTGCTCCTTCTGAAGCCCACAGCCTTGCTCCAGGGGTGCCCAGTGTGTCCATGTCTGCTCTTATTCTGGGGTTGGCCTGCCCTCCCCGGGGAGCTCCCCTCCTCTCTGGGACCATTGCCCGTGCCCCTGGCCGTCCTTCTCTGCACCTGTGCTATGACACCCGCGTTGTGCCCAGATGCTGTGGGAGCGTCCCCGGCGCTCTCGCCAGCCCTGCCATTTGGGCAGTGGGTCTGGCAATATGGAGACTGGGCTGTAGGCAGCTAAACAAGGCTGTGAAGGGTCGCTGTGTTGGAGGGATGTGCAGAACCAAGTCTGTGTGATACCCCCCAGGAGCTGTTAGTCCCCGTGGCAAGAAACCTCCACTTTCAGAAGTGCTTCCAAGCCCGTGAAGGCTCACGCCGTCTGTCCGCTGTGATCCCAGCCCATTTGCAAGGAAAGGCAGTGAGCGCACCCCCTGGAATCGCACTTACATCGAAGATGGAGTAGACACCCTCCATGTCAGCAAACATCAGGAAGATGCAGACGCCCAGCTGCGCGGTCAGCGCGAGGACAAACTGGTCTGCGGGGACACGAGCAAGCAGAGAGCAGGTTGGGCCCAGGAGCCCCGGCCGGGCATCCCCCCGCCCTTCCCCGGGACACGCAGCGCAAGATTTCCACAGAGCGGTGAAGTACTTGGAGCAACAGAGGAATGAACGGAGGCAAATCTCCGCCTGGCCCAGTCCAGGGGCTGAGACAACCTTGCAGCTATAGATACTGAGGCAGGAAGGGAACGATCTGACCATCCAATTTGGCCTCTTGAGGGCCCTGCATGAAGCCCTGTAGCTTGGGAGCTATCCTGCCAGGGTGAAGCCTTGGTGCTATTGAAGTCAGAGGGGCCAGGACTTCACCCCACGTCTTAAAGGCGCCGAGAACACACTGCGTCCCTAACCCCTAGGTGAACTGTCCCTGTGGGCGAGTCCCTCGGTATTAGAAATGAAAACCTTATTTCTGATTTAAATGTCAAGCACCAGTGTCCGGCCATGGGACATGCCTTTGCCTGCCTATAAGTGCTGAGGGAGCATGGCAGTGTTGCTGCTTCACCTTCTCCAAGAGAAATCGCAGCGAAGTGGGGCTGGCAGGGAGCTCCAGGGCTCATCCGGTCCAACCCCCTGTGCAAATCACTCCAGACAAATCCCTCATCTAAACTCTTCACAAAACTGCCGTCAAATGCCTCCAGCCCAACAGCATAGATGGGTCAGCAGAGCCCCTTCGTGCAGGAGGAGCTGCTTTGCCTTTATTTTGGGGGGTCAGTCTGTGGGCTCGTCAGCTATTCATATCGGACCCTCATCACTGCTCTGGGCCTGGACTGGGCTCTGACTTCCGCCACTTTTAACCACTGAGATGAAGTCAAGCAGAAGCCCTGAATCCAAGTCTTCTGGGAGCTCAGTCTGGCAGCACAGCCGGGGAGATGGGGCTCTTGGGTGAGCCCCCAAAAGCAAGGGCAGGGCGAGGGTCTTGTATTAGCGCTGGCTCTTCTCTTCTGCATCTCAAGCAGATGAGCAGGCATCGCTGCCTGCCTGCTGACAGGGCACAGGCGGCTGCGGGTCTGTCATTTCTGCGGGCGTCCCAAGCTCAGGAACAACCCGCTGGTTTCTGCAGGGCCCGTCGGTGCAGCCCAGGCACCAAGCCAGGCTCCTTGTCGGGTCAGCTCACAAACCGCAGGCCCAGGTCTGGGGGGAGCTCCACTGGCCGGGATGATGGAGTGGGGCTGGTCCTGCTTGGGGCAGGGGGTTGGACTGGATGTGATCTCCTGAGCTCCCTTCAACCCTCCTTGTCTGCGATTGTATGACTCATTCTCCTGCACCCTGAGGTGCTTCCAAAAATCCCCCCACAAGCACCCAAAAATGGATGCAGCACCCTAGCACTGGGGTCCTGGACTGGGATGGTCTGGCCAGGGCAGCTTTAGCTGAGGCTTTCCCTAGTAGCTCCCAGACTTTGGGGCTGGCGATGCTGTGGCAGCTGCACAGGGCCCCGCGGGCTGTGCTCACAGCAATATTTGCAAAAAAACATATATATATATATATAGGGGGGGTGTATGGGGAGGTGTATATATGGATGTATGTGTGCGTGTGTGCGCGTGCATATATATGGATGTGTGCATGTGTGCGCGTGTGTATGGATGTGTGTACGTGTGTCTGTGTGTGTGTGTGTGTGTGTGTGCGCGCGCGCGCGTGCGTGTATGGATGGATGGGTGTGTGTGTGTGCATGTATGTGTGTATGTATGGATGCATGTGTATGTATGTGTGTGTGCATGTATGTGTGTGTGCATGGATGCATGTGTATGCATGTGTGTGTGTGTGCATGGATGCATGTGTGTGTGTGTGCATGGATGCATGTGTATGTATATGTGTGTGTATATGTATATATATATGTATGCATGTTTATGTAATGTGTGCACACACACACAACTTTACCTCCAACACTCTGCCAAGCAGCCCTTGTTGGTGCAACTTGGCAGATCAAAGCACACTTGGCCAGTTAAAGCATTAAAAACCCATTACTGCGTTCGCACCGCGTATCCGCGCCCCCGCTGTACTCACAGTTTGTGTACGCCGGCTGCCTGAACGGCTTGCCCTTGGAGACCACCAGCGCCACCGCGATGCAGTTGGTCGTGCTCAGCAGCCACACCGTGCTGTTCTCGTAGCTCTTGAAGCCGTTGGCCACCTCCTGCCCGAGGGTTGCGTTCCCCAACCTCCCGTTGAGGCTGCTGCTGGAGGAGGAATGGTTTGCCAGGCTTGTCTTTCCCGAGAGGCAGGCGCTGTAGGAGAGGGACCCCACGGTCAGCAAGGTCAGCTGCTCTGTCCCCTTTCAGCTAGAGCCTTCAGACCCTAGTGAACGAGTCCCCGGCAGCCCGGAGAGGGAGGTACAGGGAGTAAAAATGGCTTGGCTAAGCTGAGTGTGGCATTGCAGCACCATCACACCCCCACTGCCATGTGCCCTGCTGCCCTACCAGTGCCCGCATGCATGCCCAGACTGGCATCCTGATGCACTGACGTGGGATCATGGTGCACGTGCCAGACCATTTGGGCTGGGTCTGCTGCATGGTGTGTTTGCTTGGATTTCCTTGCAAGGTCTTGCAAGGTCCCTTCCAACCCCTGACAATCTCTGAATCTATCTATGAAACATTACCACCCCGATTCCCCAGTTAGATCCAGGTAAGCCAGTCCCACCATGTCTGCCCATGCAGGGCCATGGCAGACCTCTCTCACCTGGAGATATCCTCCTTGGAATACCAGGGCTGCTCCTGCACCACCAAAAAGCCACAGATCTGCAGGCCCAGGCTGAAGAGGATGTTGAGGACCAAGGAGAGCAGCAGCGGGGGGGAGACCAGCTGGCTCGGGGGCCGGTACGGGACCAGTTTGGGATAGGCACCATTCAAACTCACTGCACGGAGGACAAAGAGGCAGAGCTGCACTCGTCCACCCAGAACAACCTCCGCTTAGCAACGCAGCGTCTGCCGCGCAGGGTGCATTATGGCACAGCCAATAAACTAACTCTGTAGGGTAAGGGATGAAATAGCCAATACAATATTGGTCATATCGAACTAATTACTAGCATCTCGCGTCCAGGAAGATGTTGGAAACATCCCGATTCTCCTGTTCACCTGCCTACCTGGTTCATTGGGGTTCTCCCTAACTTACACGGGTGTCAAAGGGGTGTCCTGGCGCCGGAGTGGCAGAGCAAAGAGGGCGTCCTGATGACCCGATGCAAGGAGGAAACAGGGGATGAGGAAGCTGCTGATGTGTGTCACCAAGGGCCGTGGCTGGCCCTCCCCGGGCTGGTGCAATCAGGATGTGTCCCCAGCTGTGCAAAAAGGTGCTGCGTGCCCTGGCGCTCAGGGGAAGAAGTCCAACCCCACACACCTGGACTCGCTACTGTCCTTCTAGAGCTGTGCATCCACAGCTGGGCTGCAAGAGGCTGGGAGGCAAGTCTGTAATCCTGATCTTTCTGAGTCTGGGAAAATGCTGGCTGGAAAGATGCTGCCAGTGTCCACAGGAGCAAGATGCAGCAGAGCGCAGCGTGCCCATTACACTGCTCCTGCTCCCTTGGACTCCTACTTAAACGCACACGTGCACGGTCTGTGTGTTATTTGCTGTATCGTGCACTGCCAGGGGCTGCAGATCCCACGGCAAAGCCCTTCTCTCAGTGCAAGACTTATCATGAGGCTGGCACTAACTATACTCATGTTGGCTGAGTATAGCCAGAACAAGGGCTGTGAGTCCCCAAAGGGCCCTACCCAGCTTCCCCGAGCCTCCAGGCTGGAGCACTGCATGCAGGGATGCTGGCTGGTTGAACGAGATCGTAAACTGCAGTCACAGGGATTTAAATGTGCAGCAAGGACCCTTTCAGCACCGCTGAATTGCATTTGGACTAAGTGATCCCTAACACGAGCCTTTGCCCCACTAGCCGTGACTTACCGCCAGGCTTCTCTGCTCTCCCCGTTGGGCCTGGCTTCCCTGGCCTTGGGGACCTTCCTGCCTTGTGGAGTGAGCTGGAAGGGGTCCAAGTTTCCTTTCCACTTCATCCAGCTCCTCTGCATGATCCACTCTCCCAGCTCCTGAGAGCCCCGGCTGACCTGGAGACAAAGCCCAGCCCCAGGACCTCCCCTTTCCGCCTCCCGCAGACCGAGCCTGCACTGCTGACTGCAATGTTCCCTGCCCTCGGGGGTTTTCCTCTTCGACGTGCAGGATTAAGCACTTCCACGAGGGTGGGAATTAACTGAGACCCCTTCTCACGCATGCCTAGAAGGGACTTACTTGTGAGACCAATTACCGTGCTGATAGCCAGGTCTTGGAACAAAAACTGGTAGTTCCCAAAGGAGTTCAGTTGCTGAAAAGAGAAAGGCCAAGAAAATGAGTTTAAATCAGGCATTTGCCGAAGGCTTGTGTGTCTTTGGAAAGCTGCAGGATTTTCACGGGGCAGGTGCCCTGTAGCTGGCTCTGACGTCCCAGGGAAGCTGTTCCACCAGATAATGTGGGAACCTCCTAACAGAGCGTCCCATTGCTGTGCGCACACTCGTTCATCAGGCTAGCGCCCCCTCCAAGTGATTTGATCAGAGGTGCCGGTCTGAAGTAGCACGTGCTTTCTTTGCTGCCAGTGATTTTGGAACAGAAACCTGCCGCTAGGCCATTCTGGCTTTCTTTTAACGCCGGGCTAGGCAGCCTCTCCCCTCTTCTGCACAGCTAGGTTTTGTCTTCCGCCCCCGGTCTCTGCCTCTGCCCTCTCTGAAACAGCCACCTGCCCCTTGCTTCGGTGCATAGGTTTGCCCTGTTCAGCTGCAGTGCTGCGTGCAAGCTTCCTAGCTTTATCTCGGCCATTCCCTTAAGGGAGCAGCATTTTGCCGATTTCTCAGGAGCGAGCTCCGGGTCGCAGAGCCGTACCCAATAGAGCAGGAGCACACCGAGGTACTGGATGATGCTGTACAGCGCCATGTACTTGAACATGCAGAGCGAGGTGACGAGGGCGGCACGGCCTTCCCTGCGCAGGGGAGAGGAAAGACGGAGGGCGTTAAGAGACCTGCGCGTCTGCCCGGCTGGGAAGGGAATTCACAAATGCCTCAGCAGCTGCACCGGGACCCGATCTTGCTGCCCCTCGCTCAAAAGAGCAGCAAGTATAACTGGAGAAGCCAATAGCAATGCGCGTGTGAGCAGAGATGCACCCGGGAATGAGTGTTGGGAGATGGGGCGGGAATCCGGTCTGTGCTCACCTTGGACAGGATTACCTAGTGGTTATCATCAGGCACACTGAAAATGCAGTGGGGGTCATTGCAGACTCTTCCCTTCGCTTTCCAAATCCAGGGGGGACCTCGCCTGCCTCAGCTGTGCCATGCCAAGGCCCCGGCTGTTTTCCAGCCCAGACAAATAGCCTGTGGACTTCAAGAGCAAACCCAGAACTGTCCAGGTTTATTTCATGGGAGCATGGGGGGGAGGGAGGACAGCATGCTGAGTGGTCAGAGCAGTGGGCGAGGACCCAGGTGCTTTCCCTAGCTTTGCCCCTGGCTCACTGTGTCATGAAGGGACATCTCTTCTTGCTCCTGCTCAGCTGCGGGAGACCTCCCAGCATCTACCGCAGCGAAAAGCCCCTCAGACCTAGAGCTGCTCTTTCAGACAGGAACCGTGCAGACAGCCCTCTCGGAGGCGCTGCTGGGTGCCGATGCTCAGGGTTGTAGGGAGGTCCGCTCTGCCTGACCCCGGTGTGCGGAGGGGAGAGGCGGTTGTGCACGTACCTGATCAGCTGGGGCACGCACTCAATGGTGGGGGTTCGGGTGGTGAAAGGCGAAGCCACCGATGCCTCCTCCTCCGACAGCGAGATCCCGGCGTGCGCCACTTTCAAGGCCTGCAAGGCAGGTGCCTGTTTGGGACCCGCGTGCCAGCGATGCCTGCCAACCGCTCGTCCAGCCTGCACACCCATGAACCCGCAGGGACTCCCGGGGCCAGGAAGCAACAGGGGTCACACCCCCTGGGCTTCCTTCACCCTCCGGTGCTTCTGGTTTCCAGTGCCGGAAGGAGCGGAGAGTCAGAGTAGCATCAGCTTTGGCCAGTGCCGCGCTGCTGGGGCACCTGAAGCAGCCAGTGCCAGCCCCATGCCAGTGCTGCTGCCCGCTGCCGCAACACAGGCTCCTCCTTGGGTGCAGCTGCTGCCATCGGCACAGGGGTGACAGTAGCGGGGTGGGAGGGGGCTGTTTTGTGCAATAGAAAGCAAAGGCCCTGACCGTTCCCCACTCCCTGAAAGTGCACGGCGCTGCTGAAAGCTCTGTTTGGGACAGCTAGCCACCTGCACCCCCAGCTGCCTGTCCCACCAGCCCTGCAAGTGCTGGGGAAAAACCCGCTGAAAGACCGAGGGTGTTGCCCCATTGTCTTGGGCCAGGAGATGGGTGGTTTCCAGGGGCTCACATTTGCACAGCCTGGGCAAGGGTCCCCTTGAAGGTCAGGGCCTGTGTCAGCCTCTGTCTCCAGGCCTGTTAACCCCCGGCACTGCATTCACTCAGAAAAGCCCCTGGGAACGGGCTGGCACTCACCCCACAGTCGTTGGCTCCATCTCCACACATGCCCACGTAGTAACTGCAAAACAAGGCGGCGCGCCTGTCAGTGCTGGGTCCCGCGAGCCCTGTCTCCTGGCGTGGGATTTAGTCGTGAAAGGTGCATGGGTGCAAGCTGCTTTGGGTGACTAAGCCCTGGTGTGGTCCCAAGCGAGGTTTGCTCTGCTGTGTCCACACTGAAGAGTTTCTGAAGTTCCCCCTCAGTCCTACTAGCTTGGGTGCAGTTTGCTGAGTGCTGCGGGCGGTAGGAGACCAGTGCGGCCCCTTGTTCCTACTGTTGGGCTCGCTTGTGTGTGTACTGGGACTTGACGACAGAGTGCCCGTGGGTCAAGCAGTCTGAATACCCAGCCTCTGCGGGGCTGTAACACGGCAGATGCCCCAGAGCCATGCAAAAGTTGGGCTGACAGGGCCCTCGGGACGCCACATCTAGTGCAGCCCTGCCCAGAGCCAGCCCAGCGACAGGGATCCTACAGCCTCGCTGCACGGCCTGTTCCAGGGCTGAACCACTCTCGGAGTGAGGAAGTTCGTCCTAACCTCCACCCTAGGTCTCTTGTCGCAGTTTCAGCTCATCCCTCCATGTCCAGAGCCCTGGGATTATGGCAGCGGTGAATCACCTGCCTCTCTAAAACCACCCTTTTTGTACATGGAGACTCTTACTAAATCCCTCTTACCATCCACTGCCCTGAGCTAAAGACTCCCAGTTCCTACCACCTGTTAAATCAAGTTTCCTAGAGCTCTCCTGTGGCTTTGCTCTTCCCAGCTCTGGAGGTGCGGGACCCAAAACTGGACAGAGCGAGTGCTCCAGGTGAGGCCTCACCAGCACTGAAGAGTCCCTGGGACTTGCATATGACCCTCCTGGATTAGCAGGATGCTACCAGCCTTTTTAGGAATAGGATGACACTATTGACTCGTATTCAGCTTGCAATCCCCTCTAACCCTCAGGCCCTCGGCAGCGGTGCTGCAGCCCAGCCTCACTACCCATTTAGCGTTTGTGCCTCTGAACGCTTCCTCCTCCACGCAGGACTCTGCATGCATCCTACAAACGGTTTAATGCTCACAGGGAACTTACCCCAGCTTCTGAAACTCTTCCACGAGGCTGGATTTCTGAACAGGAGACATCCTAGCAAAGACGGTGCCATTCAGCAG